TTCTCGATAACAATTCAACGAAACATTAATACCAAAAATTCGGAGATATAGTTTCACTGAAGATCACGGAATCACTGGAATTGCCAAACACTTCATAAAACATCACAAAATCAAATTCAATGAAATTGTATCAAAACACATCTAGAGAACCACCTTGAACAGAGATACGGCTATAGCTTGCCAAGGATGATACGAGAGAATTGGATCCATTTTGGCTAAACACGGGATGGCCAACCAACCTGTCGTACCCTCATCGATGAACAAAACCTTCGCATAGTTTGCAACTTTCGATGCCTGAAAACTAGAACCCTTGGACGGCCGCCTAAGCAACAATGAATATTGGTCAATTTATATTCTAACATTCATCATTTTCAAATTTGCATTGTTTATTAGCCACATATATCTTCTTGAAATCATCCAACGATTCGAATTATTACATGCACAGCATCAGAGGAGATATTGCTAAGAATTATTATAACGCTGAGTCAACTGCAACGGTATATTATATGCTGTGAAAATGTCCAACTGTAAGATGTGAATGCATGCAATGCATTAATTTAAATTTGCTCCTTAAAAATCATAGTTCATACGTTGGCAATGATCAAGGATTTGGAAGCATGAAGAATATGGAAATCATCATCATTTGAGCTCTCATCTCGACATGGTAATAACTAACACAACTATCACTGTCTCCACCAACTGCCAATTGAATGACTCGAGCTCGAGCATACAAACCGTTTTCCAGTGGAGCCATAACATACTGACCTTCACGAACCTCATTCAGTTCAACCAAATCATTCCTGAACAAACCACCGATACTTCAATATTCTAGCTGAATATATGTCCACGAAAACTGGAATCAGAATCAGGTTCTTTCGAGAACGCCATAGTTTGACAATTGAAAAAAATACGTTGACTTTTAACTGAAGTAATGCGGAAAAGTAGGCTTGAGCTATACTGATAACGAGCGATTTCTGTGCTGAACTGAGTTCCTCTTCTGCTGAGAATTTGCATAAGCACATTGAAGAGCAGTCAAAAATTAAGCTAAAATAGTTGAACAAAACATCCAGATAATATTCGAAATATAACTAGATTTTAGGATGAAAAACTTACAGATCAGTGGTCTGCAGTTGTTCGGTGATATGATTGGTCAGCTTAACCCATATGCAACTTGGTGAGATCACATTTGAAACAATGCAGTTTGCCATTCGACACAAACGGATTCTGTGAATCTGAATTAGTTCATCGTGAACAACTGAAATGAAAACTAAGACAGAATATGAGAACAACGATATCCACGAAATGACTCTTCTATAAACTGCCAGAATTTATTAAAATGAAATATCACAACATAATGTTTATCTTCAGACTACTTTGAAAGGTCTTCGGTTTTGCCTAACACATAGTCTGTATGTAGCACAGGTGTGTGAAATGTTGAAAGCATGTATTAATCCACAAAGCTGATTGATAACCTTATACATTCCACTGTTTGCAGTATCGCCATTTCGCACCATTTTCGGTAAGTCACTTTTCGAAGTTTTTGCCTCGAATATTGGTGATTGCCGGCCACTGTTCATTTTAACATACCAGCCTGGAGGTGATAAACAATGAAAAGCTAAGTCCAACGATTATTAACGGCAGTTCAAGTAATGCCACGGTACTGGAATTCAGGAGACCAATCAACAACAGAAACGTTGCAATCGTTTTTAACCGTCGAATTAACCACCAGAATTTGAGTGATTAGTCCCTAATAAACCCTGTAAAGAGTGAAATTAATTGCAAGTCTACTGAAACAGATTGATTAAACAATGAAAACAATTTTGGACTATCTACACTCTATCACGTACATTCAATCACCCATAACCAAAGACTTGATCAGATACAAATGGTACAAATATGATAATACGCAAACATATTAACATCGCTCATCTATCAGAATATCTTTCCGAAATTTTCGTATGAAATAATTA